ACCCTCAAGCACCCTCTGCAGGGTTCATGGTAGTTTGCCCAACCAGTCCACATGTGTTTTGTGGACTTGGAGAAGGCATTCGACCGTGTCCCTCGTGCTGCCCTGTGGGGGGTGCTCCAGGAGTATGGAGTCGGGGGCCCTTTATTAGGGGCCATCCGTTCTCTGTACAAGCGGAGCAGGAGTCTGGTTCGCATTGCCGGCATTAAGTCGGACCTGTTCCCGGTGCCTTAATATAAAAGAGACAACAAGGTTACAGCTGATCTCCACATGTTTGTTTTTCTCATAAAGACTCTTGCAAAAGGCTTCATATCCTTTTGGACTATCAGCATCACACTTCTTACCAACATCCTACCCAAAGTTGGACTTTATTTACTAACAAGCCCATTTATTAAAAACACTTACTCTTTATTTAGAGGTAACAGATCAAAGGGGGTAAATACAAATACCACTCTTCCTTTTCTAAAGAATGGAATTCCATTAATTTTTCTTTCACCTCTTGTATCCTGCTCTGCATTTGTTTATTACATTTTGGTACAATTTAACCCAGGATCACAGAAATAATCTGTTCACAGGAATCTCATTTACTCATTAGAAATACTCATTTAAGAACAGCTCCACCCGCTCATTTTAAAGTTCAGATTTTGGTCTTATAAACATACGAGCAGTTTCTCCTTTAAGCATCTGTAGGTCACTCTAACCTATTGATCCAGTCTGTTGTCCTGATCAGCTCAACCAGAAAAAAAAAGGAAATAATGGCATCACTCACTCTAACTTGTTCCTGATTTTGTATTTATTTTTTTCAGAATAAAAATAGTTTACCAAACAAACACTTCTTCATTTTCTCCTTTTTGGAGTTATATTTACAGCAGGGGAAAAAAAACAAAAACAAAAAACAAACCAGAAGCAAAAAGACCCCGTCATATCAGTTACATCTCTTCATGGCTCCGTTTTCACCCAGATTCTCCTCCTCTAAGGCCCGCTCCCTTCACCAGGAGCACCAGGGCCTATTGCTGTGTCTGTGACGAGGTATACCGGCTCTTTTATAAAAAGGTGACACTGTATTTTAAGCAAACATTTCATTTTTCTTTTACTTTTTGTTCAGAGATGTGAGCACTTTGCCTGTTAGTATTTGCAACATTTCAGGACACATCTTTTAATTTAGTGGCTTGATTTGGAAGATAAGACACTGACCCCATTTCAAAACGGAAATGTCATATAACTGTTACAAGGGAAGACTACAAGATAATGGAAAAGTTTCAGAAGCACTCTTTATCAGGTGGAGAGGAAACAAAAAAAGGTAGAGAGGGGAGGATCCCTGAGGGAAGTGAGGAGAGATGATTTAAGTACACCAGTCCTAACAGACACGCAGGAATAATGGAGCAGCAATATTGGATAATCATACACCTCTGAAACTATTTGTGCAACCTTTGGACCCAACAGCTTCTCCATAGAGAACACAAAGCGCGCCATAAAGCAGTAGGGCCTCAAACACCACATGTATACAGGTTTTCCTCTCATTTACAATGGCAATCTGAGGCTGTTATTTCTATCTGGTAACATTTTAAACCAAAAAAAGAAAACAAAAAGGAGGATTTCTAATAACAAGCCAACAAATTAAACTTATTGCAGATGATTTCCTCTAGCAACAGACCGCTGCCTCCCAGAAACCTTTCCAGGCGTGGATTAAAGATGAAGGAATCGTGGTGGGTGTGGGTGTCGCTGTCCCTGCTTGTCAGCAGAATACAATCACTGATCTGAGCAAGAAGCTGAACAATCACCAGGAAAACAAGGATGCCTGAGTAGCTGTGGGTACTGTGCACCTGATCAGACTGTGGTATGATACAATCAGACAGAAATTAACTAATAAATGCTTAAAATGTACATTTTGTACAGAAAAAAAGCATGCAAAAAATTAAGGATTGTTGTGATTTGTTAAAGATAAATTGCAAGAACTAAAATGGGTAAAAAAAAACTATTAGAGCTAAAGGATTACACAGTTCTGAGGTCTGGCTGTAATAGTGGTGGATTTGAGCGCCGACTCTATGGCTGTAGGTCAGTGAAGGGGCGGGGTCACTGGTATGGTCAGGTTGGAGGAGTCATGGCTGTCAAAGCTGGTTTTCAGTGCGGAGCGGCAGGCTAGCACAGTGTTCAGGATGATGACGTCTTCGTGTCACATCAGATCAAGCGGCAGACATACATATGGTCACAGAGCAGGAGTGGGCAACCTGGGTCGCCCCAAATGTGCCCGTTGGGCACAAACGGTCCAAAGGCCTGGCCTTTAGTGTTCCCATAGTTCATAGAGGAGCTCCCAGCGCAGTGCTGATAGGATCAAATGAAGCCGGATTCTAGCATTTCAAATGTTTCAAAGGGGTCGATTCCTAATGTCAGGGGAGCGGTTGCTTCAATTAAGCCACGCTTCTCATCCAAGGCTTCTTCAGTCTCATGTTCTGAACCCAAATCCAGACGGACGAGGCGGCTCATTAGTATCGAGGGTTGAATCCTTTTCTTCACTGATCCTTCCCCAATCCCTGGGCAACCCGGCACTGAGCTCACTCTTCCTGTACGATAGATAACCAGAGTTAGACAGGATGGGCCTTAAAAAGTATTCACATGAACTTATGTTAAAACTAAAAAACTTATTTTAACAGTATATATGCAAAAATAAATCAGAAACTATTAATAATTGCTATATAGAAAGAAAATTTCACATCTTTTTACAAATGCAAATGTAAAGCTTTAACCCTATTTAAGTGACCTGATTAGAAACCAGATTATACTTCTGTTTGATCGAATCTCTATAAACACTTCTGTGAGGTCTTCCGTTTGATAGAAACACTAAGAACCATTTCAGAGCTTTGATCAAATCTTCATCAGAAAATAATAATATAAAAAGGATTATAGCACAATTACAGAACATGGGCTCAGATCAGGTAAAACTAAGTTTAACTTTTTATCTGTGCATTGAAAACCTCGTGTGAAAAAAAACACCATTAGCCCACTAAAACACAGCCCTGACAGGATTACATTAATGCTTCTGTTAGAAGGAATGTTTAGTCAGTCCCTAGATGTGCAAAACTAGTAGAAATCTGTTATCAAAGACTCGCAGCTACAACTGGATTAGATGTTGAAAGTCCAGTCCTTGAGAGCTACCACCCAAAAACTTTTGGATGCATCCCTTTTAAAAAACACGGAAGTCTAATGGTGAAAAACCCTCATTATGTCATTCAGCTCAAAGGTCTGTTAAAGAGAAGAGATACATCTAAAAGTTGCAGGATGGAAGCTACCAAGGACACCCCTGGTTTAGGTAAAAGCATTTTCATGTGTAAAAAAAGTGCAGTCAGAGTCTAGATCTAAAGTTAAAAGAGAATTGGTAAATCTATAAAACTACTGGGAGTCAAAATTGGTCATACAAAGTTTTAACAAACGGTCTGTAGTATTTGGGGACACCTGCAGACACTGAAACTTCTAACTCATAAGTATGAACTAGTTTGTGTATATCACATCTGCCAAAAAGAATCGAAAGTTGTGGTTAAAACAATAAATCAATTAAACTTTAAAGGTCTGTAATCACGCCACAACAGTTATTAGTACAAAGAGGCAATGTCACTACACTTACTACAAAGAAACTGATATCTTATTGATGTTTAACATGACTAAAAACGTTACTGCCTAATGACTTACCTTTAATTTATTATGTCCCTTTCCATGAAATATATTCCAATATTTCCATATTCCAATATTTCCATATTCCAATATTTCCAGTGGCTTGTAATCTTCCTTGGTTCCTTCACAGCCTTCAAAGTGCCATAGACTTCTGATCCAAGAGTCTCCGTTAAACCTTCGATGCAAGTGTCTTCAAAGAAATTCGATCACCTAACCGAGCTCGCCACTTTCGAATTTCACTTCTTCAAAACAGTCTCTAATTAGTCCAGTGTTTGCATTTGTTCATAGCTTTTCGCTACTTCTACTTCAACAATGGGAAATGAAGAAAACTTTCAAAAAGGACGTCGAAGCTTCTTCTGTTTTACATAGTAACCTTTTCAGGAAACATTGATAGTTCGTTGCATTAAAGGTCCGTTTATGCTGTATATTAATAATAAAAAAAGTCTCCATAAATTATTCAATGTTCGGTAGATAAAATACAACTTGCATTTCTGTCCGGAAATTCTCACCTTGTGCTTTCAGAAAACAAATCCAAAAACAAAAAAATTCAAAAAGAAGCAGCTGATTTTTGCCAGAGGGTATATATATATATATATATATATATATATATATATATAAAATACATACATACATATATATATATATTTAAAGAAAAAAAGTGTCAGTTTAAATCTAAGAAGTCTATCTGTGGCGGCTGGATAATCCGTTGCTATTTGCGGCTGGTTCTTCTAGCTCGTCATCCTCAAAGCCATGAAAGGTGGAGGTGTCACTCTCTGAGGTGGTGCCAAAAAGCTCCTCGGCTGCAGTAAACTTGCCATCCTCCTTCTCCTCCCCACCACCGGCTGTCATACAGGACAGGAGAACAATGGAGAGGGAAGACACGGATTGAGGAAAGGTTACTTACACATACCATCCCGAGTACATTGAGGAGGAGATATAGCAAATTAATGTGGGCATGCAGCACAGAGGCGTGAATGAACTTACTTGTGCATCGGCAGGCTGAGCAGGGAGACCCAGATTTACCCGTTTTCCTGTTTGCTCCTTGGCATTTATTACAGTAGATGTTGGGAATGCTGGTCCCACCGGAAAGCTTTGGACCTTAAAGAGAATTCAAGAAGAAATTTTACTCGATCAAGATTGACTTTTCTAAATACATTCATCCTTTTGAAGAACTTAGCACTTTTCTTTATGAAAAAAAACTCACTTTGTTAAATACTTCTCTCATCTTTTTAAGGGATGTTTCTTTAGAAGCCCATTTCCATTAAGGGGGAAAGGAATGTGGTTGGTCGTAATTTCAAAAGTCATCATAACAAGACAATTTAGACTCTTTTCTTGTACATTTATGATTTAAAAAATGAACGTTTTTTTATTTTTTACTTTTGATATACAAGATAAACATAAATTCATTAGAAATAGCTTAATTTGAGGAAATAAAACTATTTTGGTATAAAAATTCATAATCATGAGATACTAATTTAGAAAAACTTACCTTTGTCAAAATAGATGTAATCATTAACTATTTTGATTTTAAAGTGATTGACTAAAAGCCATATTTATAAAAACATAGTACATGACTTCTGACACAAAAATGACAATATCATTAAACAACTGTTCCTTTCTGGGGTCCTGTAGGGTGAGTCTGGTCCTGCCTACCCCTGCTATTGAGCATATTTTCTTTCTGAACCAGCTTTCTAAATCCTTTATATATCAGCATGCCGATAAATACATACCAGGGGAGTTTGGTTCCAGGTGCTCACGGATACACACTAATACTAAAAACTGAACCGCAGCTACAGATCTATATCATCCTAAATAACATTGAATAATCACCATATGTTTTGCCTTAGACAAGCATGGATATCTAAGGGATACCCGCTATTTTGAATTTTTTATTTCTTTTTAATGTTTACATTGGTTGTGTTCTTTTTGCTGTAATGCTCGCTGTTTTCTGTTCCTCTCGTCTCATACAGGTATGGAGGCAGACTTCTAGGAGTTATGCTATGTTTAGATTGCATGCTGCAGAAGAAGCGCGTTTTAAGCAGCAGGAGCAGAACGTCTGACGCGTCTTCACGTGCGTGAAGCAGCTGCTGGAGTTGCAAAAATTGAACTTTTGCTGCTCGACGTGCCACATCAACAATTCAAAGAAGCTGATCTGGGAGCTGGCAGGGAGAGAGACACGGCAATGCTGGTGCAGATCGCTATGATCACTCCTCTGAAAATATGTTCGCTTTTATTATTCTGTTTTATTATTTGTTTTTTTAGTTGCGGTCCAGTAGCTGAAGATATTTTACTCTGACCTGTAAATGTTTAAACAGCATAAGTCGTAAATGACCAGAGCTGTTTTCAAGATTTAAATTGAGTCTGTCGGCACTTTGAAGCTAATCCTGTCTTGGTGACCAGCGGCTGGAAACAACTTCCTTAGTTATAATAAAAGGTGTGCAAAAAAAATTTCACAGTTTAGTTTCTAAAGACCTAATAAATGAAAACACAGGTGTTCTGTAGCTAGAGGTTTGAGAAGGCTTACGTTTGTGCCTGTCAGTCTGTGGTGCAGTGGGAGAGTGGGACACCACCGTGCTTCTCTCCCCAGTTCTGTCCTCCGCCAGGTGGGAATGAGTGTAGTGGTAACTTAGTCCTGTGCGGTTCCTGTATCGCTTTGTGCACACTGCAACAAACAACAGGAGGGCCTTAAGTTTCACAGCATTGTATTTATCTTACAGGTATTGAAGTAAACTTGTCATTTTCTGACTGCTCTCCATTATTGCATCTGCAAATTACTCAAATAAAGTTATTACAGAATGGAAACTTTGTATTCTAAACATGAATCCAAAGTATTTTATTTTTTAAACACACAAAAAGTGACTCAGATTTTCAACAGCATGAGCATTTCTGAGTAAGCATGGGCTGAAATGACATTCTCATTGTGTAATAACCTGGAAAATATCAGGGCGTCATAGTATTTACAGTAAAAGAATGATATCAAAGATACATGGTTTAAATTATTTGATTCAAAGAGGAGGAACAATGAGTACTATGGTCACTAAAATACTGTATTACTGATTATGATGGACACAGAACAGAAACTGTGAAAGTTTCTGTTCTGTGTCCCAGAGGTAGGAGGGAGATGCAGAGGTAGGAGGGAAAAAGGAAGACGGACAGAAAGAAGCATCAAGAGTGAAAGAAAAAAGAAAGGAATGAAGGAAGGATAGATATGCGGAAACAAGGGCGAAGATATTGGAAAGAAAGCAATGACTCAATAAGGGAATTAAGAACTTGTCAAAGCAAGAAAAGAAAAAATATACAGGGAAGGATGGACTGAACAAAGTGGAAGGTATAGAAGGAAGCAAAGAAGGCAAGGGGAAAAGGGAAGAAGGACAGGAATGAGGAAAGAAGAACACAAATAAGAAATGGAAAAAGGACAATTACAGAAATGAGGAGACACTAGATAGCATAGGAAGGAAGGAAACCATGGCTCAATCAGGACACCTCAAATAAAGCCAAGTGTATCACATTTAATACATGAGTTTTTAAGACTTCTGTATCATAACTGGGATGTTTTTGTGCTTGAAAACCCAGACTTACCCAATCAGACACATGTAGGGAACAGAAAATGTGTAAAACATTACATAGAAATGCTTAATGTATCAAAATTGATGCAAATAAATGCTCTAATTTAACTTATTCAAAAAGTATTTTTTTATCTATTTCATTTGTCAGAAAGTTACTTGACAACTCTAATAAAAGAAATTGAATTTTCTGTCAATTATTCCACAATCTTTAAAGGGTTAAACCAGCGGGAGTGCATCAGTGGTCATCATAACATGTGCTAAGTGAATAGAGCTAGTAGCCAGGAAGGAGATAAGATGCTTGCTAGTTCCCATTTATTTAGCATAGGAATACTCTGTTGCTCACCCATGATCCTTTGCGGGACCTAAGCACAACCCGCATGAACTCATGAAGTTTAACACAAATACATTTTTCTTCTCATGTACTTGATGTGATGCATGCCAATATAAAAACCTTTATTTGTTTCAGGTTTAATAATGGAGAACTTCAACTAGAGTTAGAAGCTACAATCTAGGGTATTGCAATGAGCCATTATCTGTAAACTTTAGAAGCATTTGCTCCAACACACCCTTGAACAAACATTTTGATGACAATTTCTTTTGATCCAGATATGTTGGAACAAAATGCTTTGTGGCTTTGCTGTATAGGCCTTGGTATACCATCATATTTGTACTCTGCCTACTCCCAAGCAAGGGAAAGAAAACATACATCTCCCAAAAACACAATACTTCCAACACAATTAAAGGAGCAGACAAATAAAGGTACCTGAGGTCAAAGACTTTGAGTTCTGCTTTTGTTTGTATCTGTCTGAAACAAAGAACAATGACAGAGAAAACATCATGAAAAAGTGTGTTATACGAGCAGAGCAGCAACAACTGCAGGAAAATCCAACACCCTCTAGCTTGGATTTTCCACATGCAACATGCATATGCAGGGTCACCTGGGGTGACAGTGAGACGGGTTGCCTGGTTACAGCTTAAGGTAAATATCCACAGACGGCTACATTAAACCTGGGATTTCCAGACATTATCATACAGTAACCACTGGCACTTTTTACAGGGTTCCTTTAAAAAAAATTTAAAACACTAAGATATCTTTCACTAATAACACACATTTTTTGTTCTCTCTAAAAATCCAGCAGAACTCTAAAGATTTTCTCTACTTACTGTCACAGACATATGGCTTATCATCATCCAGATCTGTCCTCCTACGGCCTGAACCTCGGCCCTGAGCAGATGAAAACAAGGAAAGCGTTTTTACCGATTCCATCAAACACATCCTACCATCATCAGGGAATCACACAGACTTTAAATGATTACAGTATAAAACTGCCACTTCAGTAGATGATTACAGAGGGCCCTACAAGTCACTTACTCTTCCCTTGCCTCGATGTCTCCTCTTGGGAGTGTCCGCCTCATAATCATCGTCATCATTGAAAGCGTCTTCTGCTGCATCTGCTTCCAGAACCCTCTGAAACAGAAAGACCTGATTCAGTCTGAAGCCAAATTAGTTATTTAAATCAGCCTTTAAGCATTTCTTAAATGAGTAGAACAGCCTAACAGATTCCTATGTTTGCTGTAAACAAGCATGTTTCTACATGCTTCTGGTGGAATGTGTGATAGTAAGATAAGTTCTTGTTTCCTGACTTTTAACTAGAGCCTTAAGTGAAAGAATGGAGAAAAAACACTAAAGCTTTGTATTTTCCTCTATTCCTGAACTCAGTATTTTGCGGCAACTGAATGTTATACCAGTTAAAACTAGTTGGGAGGTATTTCACCTTTCTTCTTGGCTAATAAAGATGTCAAGTTAGTTGGGGGAATTTGAGGGTTCTGCCACATGGAGCAAAATCTTCCAAACTAGCAAACCTAACCTGAATCTCTAACAGGCTCTCCTCATCATTCTTAGAGTTGTTCCTCTTGTCCAGACCTTCTCCTCTCAGGAGAGCCTCCAAGGTGGTGCTCTGGGTTGGCAGAGCTTCTTTGGACATAAGGCTGCCATCTAAAAAAAAGAACATAAGAAAGATCTTATAAACTCATCTAATCAAACCGATGCAATGCTCCAGCTGTTGTTATTAGTAAGGACTGAGTTATCATAATTACTGTTTTCACATCAGTATAATAGATAAAAAAAACATCATATTTTAGGTAATTGCATAAAAGAGTTTTCTTTTTTCAAATCAACCTAAACACCTGCAGACAAGGCACCCTGTAAAGGTTTAGATAACCCACTTTTTCACATTACAACCACAATCGTCTATTTATTTCAGTGAGCTTCAGAGTGAGACAATTATAATTCGAAAACTGTCCCATTTATATGGATGAATTGAGCTTTAATGTGATAACCCTAAATAAAACAAATATGAAGTCACTTAAAAAAAAGCATTAGTATTTTAATCCCAGTATAAACGCAGCTGTTCTGGGAAGGTTTTAGGTTTGTAAAGGAATATTAGTGAACAAACAGCGTCATGGAGACCAAAGAACACGGCAGGAAGTTCTGAAGAAGTGTAGTGCAGAGTTAAAATATGAAATAATATCCCTCAGCTTTGGCCTACTTATTTAACACAATCCACCGTCTGAAATGAGAGAAAACCAAACTACTTCAGGGGACCCCCAGTTCAACTCGGAGAATCTGTTAAAACAACAACTTTGCACCAAATCAGGCCTTTATGGTATAGTGAGAAAAATTATTTGACGAATGACAACTACGAAAGGCCCTGTCTGCTCTCACCACGAGCTTTAGGAGACAGCAATAATGTGGAAGAACATGTGCAGGTCAAATGAGATCAAAATGAAACCTTTTTGCATACATGCAAACCGTCCCCAGAGTAAAACCTGGTGGTGGCAGTATACCGTAGAGAAGCTTTTCCAGCAGTGACAGAGAGCTGCTCAAAGTTGTTGGGAAGATGGAGGAAGCTAAATGAACCCTGGAAGAAAATTGTTTAGAAGCTGCATAAGATTTAAGGATTAGAAGTAGATTCAGCAAAAGGACCAAAATGCATAGAATTAAAAAGAAAAGCCTTTAAGATTAAACTGTGTTCATGTGTTGGAATTGCCCAGTTCAGTTCCGATCACTTCACAAGTTTGTAGCTGTTTTTCTATGTCAAATAAAAACAAAGGTTTGTTGCTGTGAAAATGTGAAAAGGACAGAATATTTTGCAAGGTACTGCCTTTTCTCCTTCAATGAGCGGATGAACAAACACTGTAGAAGGCGAGCAGGTTCTGTAAAGCAAACAAAAGTGTGACAAGCAGCCATATCTGCATGTCTAATTCACACAACCTCTTCCCAACAGAGAGCTGTGTGATCTTTCGGTTGGTTTATGAAGAGTAGCCACTTCAAAGCTCAAGTCGCCTGCAATCCACACTCGTTTTCTATCGACTAAACAAACTAGAGAGGCGTTCTGTTGAATGTCACACCTGAAACGCTGAAGAAAAACAGGAGTGTGCAGAGGTATGAAGCAGACACAAAAGGCAGGAGTAAGGAAAGCATCTTTCTCAAACCACGTGGCAGCAGCCCATCACCATTGTGTCTGCACACGTTGACTTTCAACTCTTTGCGACGAGACAACCACCCCCCCCTCCATGCTCACCCGTTCTCTCCCTCCCTCCATCTAAACCCAAGGGAGCTGGGGGGCTAAAAATAGAGCTGGAAGCAGCCTGCAGCAGGGAGCTGATTGTGCATGCAGCCCCAGTCTCTTTAGCACACCATCAGTCAGACAGCGACACAGACTCCGACTGCTGCCCTGTAACGGCCACCTCAGGCCACTTGCTCTACGTGCTGCACAGAGGAGACGCCAGGTTCAATCAGACTTCGTTCCACCTCTGCTAGGCTCTCGCAGACAGCACATACGCCAGCCATTGTTGTTGGAGAGGGGAAGGGACAGCTGGGTGGTGGTGGCGAAGCCTAAGCCAGAGTGGGAGCAGAGGAAAACAATAGACTACAATGGGATGTGTTTGGGAAACAAAGGCTCAGCTCATGAGTTATTGCTAGATTTTGCAAACCAATTCCATTATTTTCCTCACTCTTTGGCACTTCAAAAATAAATGTATTGGATCTAAGATGTGGCTTCTAAATCATGGTAATTTGACAGATTTTTTTACAGAAGCAATAGAAAAGATAAATAAAGATCAGTTTGTGGGAAAAATTCCTCACATCCCACTAGATTTAGGAACAGAAGGGACAAGATACATCGGCTCCACAACAATGGTAAAAAAAAAAGAAAAATACATGCAATCATGGAATAATGAGACAAAAGCCATAAAAAACAATCAAAACATTTGGAGAATAGAAAATATGCAGACATGTTCTGTAGAAGACTAGGGAAATGTGAGTGAGGTGTTGAGAGTGGAAGCCAACAGAAGGTTAAACTCTATTCCCTAACATTTATTAAATACTGTCTGATGTGGCCAACCTCTGCCTCAACGCTTCCAGCGTAAATCTAATTACATGTTCTACTTCTCCCAAAACAGGTTTACCATCCGGCGAGAACGCAGACATATTTTATTTATCTTGTGGTGGGGGAAAAAAGGGAAAATATCCTGTACCCAATCTGCTCTATATGCTGGGAACATGATATTGCTTCATATGAGATTAACACAAATAATCTGGAGGTTCAGAGTAGGTTGTAAACCAGGCAGGGGGACAGATATGGATAGATAGGTGGAGAGGAGGTGGTGGGGTCTTACCAAGCTGAAGGCCATAGATGCCCAGGCGCGGATCGTTTGTGTTGTGGAGTCGCCTCTTCTTCCTCCAGCAGCGGGCCGGGTATGTGTACATCTGCCCTGCTGCAACACCTGCCAAGTTTTCGCAATGACACACACAAGCACAACACTTTATGCACTTCATATGGGATGAATATAATCCAGAATATATCCGTTTTTAAAGGAGTTGTGAAAACTCAGAGAGACGGCAGAATAAAAGTTTTTTTTTTTGCATGAAGTCACTGAAAAATCACAACATCTGGTCAATTATTTATACTTTTTTTTAAGGGCTGGATTATAATTCAATATCAATATACTGTTGCCACATGCGCTTCCATGATGAGTGAATGCCACAAATTCAATGACTGGATCCAATCAGCTGATTTTCCTTTGATAGAAAACTTCTAACTAATCTATGACTCGACGCAATCGTCTCTGTAAAGATGACGTTTTGTAAATAAAACAGATTTGAATTGACCAATATACATCTCAGTATCTGTTCATAAAATAACATCAAGCTATTTTCGATATTTTGTCTACAATTAAAGTATTTGTTCTTGACTGTTTTTTATGCATAGCTGATTCAAGCTACGGTAAAAGAAAAACAAACAAAAAGGTGATAAAAATTGAATTAATAAAAGACATTGTCTACACGAGAAAAGACGTACTACCATGTCCAGCAGAAGTAGACTGATCAGTTGTGGTTAGTCAACCTAAAACGCAGAAGTTTTAGCCACTGAATAAATTTTTCTGTTTTGTAAGACCTGTCCTTTGCAAAAATCGTCCATGGAAATGTCCCAGATTTTGGGAAAGATTTTTTGAATGTTAACCATTATTAAAATAACCATGTAGAAAGCATGCTGGGTAAGAGCTGGTTGCGCTGCTGTTGATGTTTAAGTCAAAGCAGAGGAAAAGCTCGAGCTTGATACCAGGATATAGAATCTGTGCGTTGTTTAATTTTGTTTTGATTGAGCTGCTATATCTAGTTAGGAGCAGTTTTGCAAATTTATTAAAGTGACTTCTGACCACAGTATCTCAGGCTTAGGTTTGTTTATTTTTAACATACCAAAGTTGAATTTCTATGTATTAACTTGTCTCTGGAGTTTTAAACAAACGATTCACAATAACTGGTTGCTGGTCTCCAGCATTCTGTCCCCTGCACCTGACTGAGGCAGATTTTTGCTCTGGCCCAACAACGAGTTGGTGCTAAGATGGTGCCTGATTGTCTGCCATTCCAAGAGAGACTAAGACTTCAAGGATGAACATATTGCAGGGAACTTGTTTTGTTTTATCCCATTAAACTGCTAACCTGTGTGTTGTGCAACATGCTGGATTTGGAAATGCTGGCAGACTTCCGGAAATCTCAGAGCTAAGCTAAGGACCTACACTCTCTAGTGAACAGAGACTGCTGAAGACCAACATAAATATCACCACTGGAATGATTCGTTTTCTTTGTTTTTTAATGTGACATTATGTATTATCATTAGTTCTGTGGACAATATATATATATATATATATATATAGTCAACAGTAAGGAACGATAAAGATATATATATTTTTTAATGCAGCTAATTGAGTTCTTTAAATCAGAATCACTTAAAGTTTAAATAGAAAACCACATACTTTTGTACATTTTATTGTATGTACAAAATTAAATACATCACAGGTGAAAAAATTTCCATCATTTTGTTGTTTATAGCATAAAATAACTTACTAAGATAGCAGATTAAGCTAAATTCCTCATTCAGTCACGAGACCCACTGAGGCGCTGTAGGATGCTGTGACGTCAGTTTAGTCAGGAAATAGTCATTTTACATAGCGAGTCAATATTTATTTACCTTTGTGATGGAGTTTTTATCCTTTAACGAGGACGAATACGAATATTAATGCTCGCTGGTTTAATCACCGCTGCTAAATATTCTTTGAACTTATGCAGAGCCGTTGGAAGTTCATCATCTTTCAGAACATTTTCTAGATGGTGCTGTGTCTTAATTAGTTTAAACCAGATTCTAACTTTTTGTTTGAAGACGGGATCACAGGATTGGAAATGGTTCTGTGGTGGCTGTGTTCAGTTCAGTTGGCAGCGTGCTGCTGTGGCCAGGCGTGAAGGCTGGCGGTTAGTATTTGGGCCCTGTGTGCGATGCTGGCGATTCGGATTAGCAGGCTGTGCTGTGCTGCTTTGCCAGGATGGGGAAAGTGGTCCCTCTATAATCCAATTTCAGCGAGTGGTCCAAGCATCACATCCTTTCTGCTGTCCGGGTGGGAAACTTTGCCCTTGGGATGAGCTTATTACCCGGTTCGGCTCATGGCTCCGGTCCGGTGGGGTTCGAGCTCTGGGTCTCCGCCTGAGGTAACCGTTATCCATCATGGTTCTTGTTGTTCTGGACCCCGGACCATAATGATATGGAAATCCATCTGGAGCTGCAGCTATACTAAACTATGCATCTAACCAGGGTTTGTTCGTGAAATAAAATATTTCATAAAAAAATAAACAATGCTTTGAATCAACTTTATTGCCATCAGGCACTTTATTGAAGCTATACAACAGAGAAAACGAGCCATGACAACTTTGGTATATTGTAGGGATGCACGATATTGGGATTTTGGCCGATATCCGATATGCCGATATTTTAAAACTCATGTAGCCGATAACCGATATCGATACCGATACCGATGTTAAAGCTGGACAAAAATAAGTAGTCATTGAAAATAGCAGTTTTGTTATCCATTTCTGACACTTNTTTAGACTTTAGAAACTCAGAAGCTGATCAAATATCGGGTTAAATATCGGTGGGGTGGCCGATGTCCGATATTCAGTTTTAAGGCCGATACAGGCCGATACCGATAGGGGGCCGATTATATCGTGCATCCCTAGTATATTGAATCCAAATGATGCTGCAAGAGCAGGATTGAACATTAAAGAATCTGCTGTGGTGATATCCGAACATAGTTTGCTGTATCAGCTTGGAACCACAGATTGGCCGCTGATTTTTGTCTAATCTATTTACTTTCAGCATCGAAATTTGACGCAAAACCGTGTCCTTTGGATAATCAAACATTCCTTTTCCCAATCCAAAGCCATTCCTATGATTGGCAGCAGTACAATAGACCATTGTAATGACGTTTTAACAATCCTTTCAGAGTGCTTAACAATGCAAGAAGTAGTGTTTCTATACAACCGCTGCAGGGACGTTTGATTACACTGACGTCACAGCTGTTTTTCATCACGTTACTGCTCTCACCGCACTCGCAGATCGCAAGAGGCGCTCGGCATATTGTAAATTTCTCTCCATTTTTATTACTTGGAGCATTTTTTGTGTGATTTTGACCAGCCACATAGAGGAAAAAGAAAGATAATCTACCATCACACACAATAAAATTGCTCTAGACGCACTTGTTTCTATTTAAACTTTAAAATAGATATCAGCTGGTAAAAGGGTTGTCCAAAATGAAAGGGGAACATCTGTTTTTTTTTTTTTGTTTTGTTGCAGTTTTAAGAGATTTTAAAGACTAGATGGTAAAAGGTGCACAGTAAATCCCTGCATTCCGATATGCAGAATCAGTGTTGCAAATAACTGCTTGGATTGCAGTAAGTATTTGCCTCTTATACAAGTAAATTTATATCATTGATGCCTGTGACAGATGTGTTCATGTATGTTTATTATAAAAGATAATGAAGAACACCAAAAGACCTTTAGGCAGATCCAAGATAGCCACACTGCTGGGAATATCTGATCGGACTAACCACTCTGCAAGTTGTATCACAACAGCAGGATTTATTTGAGCTTGTAGGTTTTTCTAAGCTCTATCGCATCTGGATCTAATAAAGCATATTAAAGAATTCACTCTTACAGCTTTAATTTCCTAACTCTTGAGGTAGATTGCAAAACTTCTGTCTGAAAAAAATAACACATCAGCCTTCAACATTTTGATCATAATAGCAGGTTTTCTGACTATGGATAAAGTTATACATCATTATTTTTTGTATTTTGCTATGTATACTGAATGCAATCTATTCACTAGAGGGAACAGCAGCATCCTGAAAATAAACATGCATTCTGACCCAGAGCAGAGCGCATCAGGGCTGACATTAGCCTGTACTTTCTGTGCCTGCTTGTGTATCTGCTTGTGTAGGTGGGTGTAAGTCATTTTACCAGGGCTTCGGTGGTGGCGCTCCATCCAGATGTAGCAGTTGTTCTGGGCAACGCCGGTCTGAGAGTCCAGGAATGGCAGGCGGACGCTGCGTTCAGCACACAGGCGGGCATTGTAGCTGCGGCACTGCTCAATAGCGTCCTTATAGAACTGGTCGCCCAACCTATAGCAGGGAACAGTTGCAGAGGAAGGTTAGAGTGTTGTGCAGAACACAAACAAGCAATCTTTTTCCTGAATGAGTGGCTGGTAATTTGCTGCTAGAACTGATGGGTTGATGGGTTTCTGCAATATAAGTTTAAGATTTTACAAGATTTTTTCACAACTAATATGATTAAAGTCTTTGAATTTATAAAACCAACTATATTCAACAAGTAATTTACATTGAACTGACTTCAGCAGGTTAAACACGGCTTTGTTAAATATAGTTTGTTTTCTCAGCTTGGCCATGTGACTCCAGTCCATTTAAAATCAATAGTCACCAAGAATGTTTGGAGCTTAATTTCATAAACCAGCAAGAAGAAAACAAGTTATCAGAGAAGAATCTTACATGGAGACTGAATGTCTGGCTTTAAATTCCTTCTGTTTACTAGTCTAGTTCATGGGCTTTGTAGTTTTGTAATGATGGCAAAAAGCCCTACCCAAAACAAGAGCTTTTGGTTTAAATCCCGGCACTCAAGAAAAGAAAAAACACAACCCAAAACAGTTGATGCAAAAACAAGAGAATCAACAAATGTATAAATTGAAAACAAATAGAAACTTAAGACCAGGTATATAACTGTAAATATTTATCGTATTTACTTTTATCGTGAATTTTCTTTTCACTGATCAGTACAAATGAGAGTTGGCTGCTGCTCAGTTTACTAGGATACTGCTTAACGGGCCTCCGCCACGTACTATGACTAAGAATTACTAAACCAGGAGTTACTAAACCATTGGTTACATACAAAAACATTCTGATAAAATCGTGGTACAATATTAGCATATCATATTTAACATTTTGTTTTCGCTGTATGTGTTAATAAACTTAAAAGATGACATTTCCATGGGTATAATATTGTGCAGTGAGTAAAGAAGTTATTTCCCCAGCGTGTGAAGAGAAATAGGAAAAGTCCGAGATGATGAAGCATATGGTTGGTTTATTTCAAACAAGATAAAGGTGAGTGACTGCATGGGCCGGTTACATGCATCGAGGTTTTAAAAAGACTAGGAAAACCTTTTTTAATCCCCACTAATTAACCACATTTCAACTGCTATGTTCCATCAAATTCTCATGCAATAGACAATAAATAAATACGAAATTTAGCTAATTTAGAGCAAATTAAAAACACGTTTCATTTTAGCAATGGTTGATAAAATGGAAGGCTGTTATAAATGATGTGAAATGTTATCTGGAAACATAGAGAAATAAATGCAATTTTAATGAGAATATACCCCCGTTAAGCACAATAACTCTCTTTCAGAAAAGCAAATGACACAAGCATAAATATCTATTTTTGAAATTAAATAAGGTATTTTAAATTTTGATGTTGCCATACACCCTTTTAAGTGCCATACTTTCAAATGAGCAATAAATATGTTGTTGCCAGCACAATATGCTAAATAAAAGCACACTGATTGTCAGGAGGCTGAAATAATGCTCTTACGCTTCTACTTTGTGACAAATTTCGCTATTGAGATGTATTTCCAGATAGTAAAAACAACATACCTTTGACAGTAAAAGAATGTCCCTAATCAAAATTTGAATTTAATAGTTCTATTTATATATCATTCAAAATAAAAAAATATATAGAATCGACATATCCATGCAGGGTCAATGGGGATCAGCTTTAATCTTTTAATAATCAACCTATTTTAACAGCAGCAGGAATAAGCATTTCTTTCCTGAGAGTGCAATATTTTAAAAATCCAAATTGTAATTTCGGTCTATTTTTCTTCTTAGGAGAATCTCCTCAACCAGAGTGTTCAGATCTGTTCTAACTTCTAATCAAACCGTTCAAGTTCAGCTTTTCTCCTGCACCCAGTCTCCTTCCGGGGATAATTTGCTCAGAGAAATAAAATGGACCCCTTAACTACCGTATGACTCCTCTGCTGCTCGCATCACACAGGTTCAAGATATTATAACCTCTAGATCCAATAAGCTATGAAGTTATCCATTTAACCGACAAGCAGCTAAAACTCTCGGTTAAGTTCCACTGTTCTTAGTGCCACTGAGAGTTTCGCATTTCCACTGGGTTTCAGTGTCAATATTCAGAGAGAAATGGAAAGGGGGTGGGGGGGCTATTTTACATTCAAGCACTCAATCTCTGCCACACGCCTGGTATGGTAATTAGCCTACTTAATTAATCTCAGCAGAATTCTTTGCACAAGGGCAGGTTCTGATTTGTATGAGAAAGACAAAAAAAGGTTGAAAGTTATGAGGATGTAGATTTAGCCCATTTTTATGGTTTGTTGTTATATTACAGGGGCCAAAATGACACATCAGAACAAGTGTTTATAGTGGGAAATCCTCCATGTGTTCTTAATTAGTAGGATGGCCATTTCGAAGTGAAACTAATGAGCGTTTGGTTCTGAGTCATTCTGTAAATCTAAAGCCAGGATGTAGAAAGGTAACTTTTTAACATCCAGTATGCTCTGATCCTGTTAAGGAAGACATCCTTGGTCCTTGTTAACTAAAAACACAGAATCAGAAACAAAGCAGAGTGTCTTTGTTACATGAGAGAGGAAACAGGTACAGAGGAAGCACAGGGACAAGGTGAAGAGGCGTGAAGATGAGAGGAAGAAAAAGGAGGCGGCAGGAGACGTAAAGCAGCAAGCAGGAAGGTCAAGACAAAAACACATGGCCCTGTGTCCACTTTCCCACATTCTTATCTAATGTTAGGAGTTATTCTAGTTACTCATCACATCACATATTTTCCTGTTTTTATCTTAAATACAACAAAACCACATTTTTTTGCAGCAACCCACTTTCAACATTTAGACTTAACAGCTCAGATATATCCATTAGTGGCTTTATCACCGACTTCAGATAAAAATTTGACTCATAAAAATTAAACCTGTCCAGATGAACCATAAAATATGGACAGTCAAGTTTGTACCAAGTGTTAAAATGGACCTGTTCTTTACAGTCATCTACAACTTGATGTAAATTAGACATGAAAAAAAAAACTTTCCCCCTCAATTTTGACTTAATGTGTAAAAAAAAAAAAAACACCATAAAAAGGCTCCTAAATCAGCTGTCAACGAGTAAGTACCCCATTTAAGTAATGACACAGAGTTACCTCGTGTAGCAACATCTGGCAGGTAGATCCTGCTCCATCTTTGTTTCTAGTAATAATAATAGAGGTTCAGGCGGCAATTGTCCTTTATGAATGAAATTCTGTAAAAACTTCATGCTGTTTTTTCAAAATCTTGGTAAACATTAAAATTTGTTTTATGAATTGAAATATTCAAGTAAAAAAAAATACAAAAAAAAAAAAACAGGAGCAAACATATGGAGTGATTTTTCTGCCAAAATGTTGTGTACAAAAATGCATGTTGCAAATGCATAAAGCATGTTTCACACAAACATATCTTATCACACACAAATAAACATGTTGCACTCAAATAAATCTTATTGTTCACAAATAAAACTTGTGTTACAAACGTTTTGGCAGAAAAATCACTCCATACAACTTTAAAAAGGCTATCATTTTTTACAGCATGACATTCTTCTGTAAATCAATCGAGTTTTGGACTTGTAGAAATCAATCATGTTATCAACTAACATGCATGAACTGCAAAAAAAAAAAAAAAAAAAACCTGAAAGTACAGATCCTGAATTAAAACAACTACTGAGCTTGACTACAGCTAACATCGGTACAAGGCTGTAATTAGATAAACCTTCCTGAAGTCTATGTGATGCCAGGAAACTTCCCATCACTCAGATGAGAGGCACGGAGGGTTAGATAGGGTTGGATGTGTAACGAGGGAGAGATGAAAAAGTGGAAGAAGGCTGCCTATGCGATGACACGTTCTCCATCAGAGCCCTGCCACTTCAAGCAGCAGGTGCATCAGCTAAGGTGAGAGATCCCTTTGACACCTGTAATGAGTGACAGGACCTACACACCCAGTGAACCAGGAGATGAAAGATACCAAGACCAGCTCCAGCTTTAAACACCCATACGTGGGGGTTTACATTTCTTTTCTGCCTTTTTTTTTTTGAAATGTTCAAGCAGCAATGAAGCTAAAAAAAATAAACAAAAAAAGATAATCAGTTAACCTGTTAACTGGCCAAAATCACCACAAAGATACCTGAAAAAAACATAAATCAAATCAACTGCTTTTCTTTAAAACCTTGGAGGGTCTAGCCTGCCATATAAAACCATAATGGCTGGCTGTAGTCTCATTGTGGCAGTATGAGGCTGCAAATTTGCAAGCATTTGGTTAAACACTGATTATAGATATAATACAAGCACATCATTTTGTGTTTAGATCATTAGAGTGAAGCAACAGTCCAAACAAAGCGATATGCAAGAGAAAAAAAATGCTAGCAGCTAATCTTACATAATGCTATTCAAAAGCTTTTTTTTTTTTTTTCCCAAATTATGAAATATATATGAAAGCGAAAAAAGGGGGGATCCGGGTAGAAAAAGGGTCCCAGCGTTCTTGTGCAACACTCACAGTTCCTGATGCTTGTTCTCACACTGTGTGGCCCGACGATGCAATCTACCTGCTCAGACTGCAAGTCCAAAAAAACACATCAGACTAAGAGCCAAGAGATGGCGCTGGTCGGACTAGTCAATCTGGAAGAAGAACTCCCGTGTGCGCACATGCGCAATGCTCGAGGTTCTGGTAAATCAACTCAAAGACGCTTGTAGCTCTGCTTCAACAGCAGGAGCACAAACACCTTATGATGGACGACTGAATTTCAAACATTTGATTTTCTCCCAAAGTGCCTCTATTAAAAAAAACAAAAAAAAAACCTGGTGAAGTAAAAAGTCATGATCCGTTTGTTTGATTTTTACCCGTATTGTTTGAGTATATATTGCGTAGCTGGATGATTTTTTTTGTGCATGTCAATATATCTTCAGTTCCACTGAAGAGTGCTGTTGTCATAACCACCTGGTAGCCTTAACTATGGAGCAAAAACTGGAGGTAGATTTAATTTTTTATAGTTTTTACGTG